AGAGGGAGAGAGAGAGAGAGAATGTGCCAGTGACGTATTAAATGACAAATAACCCTTCCAGCTTGCATGGACAAACAGTAACCCATGGCAACCATCACAATCTGCATTCTGTGCTCAGGATGACAGCTGAATATTAGTGATCTTTGCATTGTGTTTGGTCTTACAGTCATTCAGTTGTGATGCTGATAAGCTCAGGGTCAATATAATTCACTAGTTGATAATAAGAGCAGACAAACAGAGTTTCAATCATGTTAAAGCAAGCTGGATACACTCAACTGAGGTGCTGAGTTATTATTACAATACTCGGTAGCCATATGTTACAGGATATAGGTTTTAGGGTTGAAGGACTCTAATTAAAAGGGACATTATGTCCATGAGATTGAACGCAGAGGATTTTTGCCAAGGTCAGCGCCTAAAAACAGAGAACTTATATTGTGGCAGTGAAAATGAAAATGGTGTTTCTGTGTTGCTCAGTTTAATATCAGTTGCATAGAGTTTCAATCACATGATTTAAATTATACAACTGGTTGATGTTTGACTTTGCACTCCGACAGCTGGTCGGCATTCTGAATTACTCCCTAAAAGTAGGAGATAACAGCAACAATAGCCCCAAGGTATTAATCCAAGCTCAAGTAAAAAGAAAAAAAAAACTTTTTTCAATTCAACAAGAGAAACTTTCTGATAGCAGGAGTGTTTTAATAATGGAATCTGAAGCAGAAAATTGCCTCTGCTAATCTGCACCAACTGCCTCGTTTGACTGAAATTAGAGGTGAGCTCTTATTAGAAAAACATTAGCCGCCCCAGCTAGTTTGATAGCTAACTTTTGCAGGGAGGAGAAGCAAAACAACACTCCAATTGCTTTCTGCTGTGACGTTTTGCATAAATACGTGCAGAGTTGGGGGGAGAAAGATTAGGCTCAAATCGTTAAAGTTTCTCATTATTTTTTGTCTCACCTTGGCAGTGTGTGGTTTTTATGAAGAGAGCTCAAGTTCTGCGCCGCTGCAAAGCGTGACATTGGGGAATAAAGCAATAAGAAGAAAAAGGAAAGATCGTAAAGGCGTGGCATTTTATTATTCTCTCTGTGTCTAAGTTGGTGTTGTTTGTGTTGGTGTGTGTGTGGTGTGTGAATGGTTATTAATGTATGATGACAAGGATTTGGGTTCCTTTAAAGCAGCCATGGCATTGTATTTTTGGTTTTTTAATATTGCGTTGAGTGGAGGGGAAGAGAAGAGAGGATCAAAGATGTCATGGCTGGGGTGAGATCAAAAGGAACGACAGAGCATGCATCTTGTATTGTTAGAGGCTTTGTAAAGCTTTTATGATACTGCCATAAGGATAACATTCACAACATTACATTTCAACTGGCAGAAAACTGACTTTCAGAATCACATAAAATCAGAACTACAGATTTAGTTCGTAAAGCCTGTAAGGGTCTGTCTGAGGACTGACATAACTCAGAAGCTCTGATTATTCTGGTTGTCATAATAATCACTTATCCTACCTTTGCTAAGTGATGCAGCATACCTAAATCCTAAGCTCACATGTCACACAATATGACAACACCCAGAAACTTCGCTAAGTTTAATCTCAACTCCACCAAAACTCTTACAAAGTCTCCATCTCAAATGGGAATAGCAATCAAAAACAACTACAAGCCATGGACTGAAGAGACAGAACTCCGCCCGTATCTTCATACGCTGACAGCTGAAGTGCTGAAGGGAGATAGGAATGTAGGAGAACAATTCGCACTCTGTTAGCCTGGCTGATTGATCCCCACCAAACTCACTTTGTGGGAATATAGGGAGAGAGAGATGGGAGGGGATAAGGAGAGTGTTTCATTAAAACAGGTGACATGCGGGAACAAGATAAGGGGCACATGTGCACGTGTGTTTGTGTGTGACATC